CATAAATTGCATTTCAAAGAGAATGATTTTGTACAACCACTTTAGAAAACAGTTTGGCAGTTTCTTATAAAGTTATTCACCTACAATATGACCCAGAAAATTCCAGTCCTATGTCTTTACCCAACAGAATAAGAATATATGACCATACAAGGAATTATCTGTAAATGTTTACATTAGCTTTATTCATAATAGTAAAAAATTAAAAATAATCCCCAAGTCCATTACTAGGTGTGAATGAATATGCAGAAACTGTGTTATAGACATGAACTAGAATAATGTTCACCAATAATAAAGAGGAAACTGCTGGTAATATGCTGCAGTGTGACAAATCTCAAGAATTGAGGCGTGCTATTCTGCTGAGTGAACTGCTGAGTAGAGGAAGCCAGACTCAAAAAAGGCCGTGCTGTGTGATTCCATTTATATGAAATTCTAGCAGTGAAAATAACCTAGAGATCTAAAGATTGGTAGTTGCCTATGACAGGGCAATAGGATGAGGAAATGAAAACAAAGGAATAGAGGGGATTTTTTGGTGATGGTAGACGTGTTCTGTATATTGAACATGGGGATGGTTATGAGAATACATGAATTGCTCGTACACTTAAAACAGACACAAATAAATATAAATTACATCTCAAAAAATCAGATTAAAACAAAGGGAAGGCTTTAAAATGCAGAGGATTAAGAGAGATTGTTAGTCAAAATAATGACAATGTTAGGTATGGAAGACAAAAAGTTGCAGGAAACAGGTTGCTGATAAGTTGCAGATAAGTATGGAGTGAGGCAGAGGTAGCTGTCAAGGGTGATTTACAGATTTAGAGGTTACAGGACAAAGTTTTGGTGACGCCAATCACTGGAAGAAAGGACATTGAAAGGGATCACATTTGAAGGGTGGATCACAAGGCTGAACTTGGACCAACTATGTCTGAATTTTCTTTGATGTGTCTAAGTGAGCATATTAAGTAGGCTATTTCACATCTTCAAAAGTAAAACTATTTTGTTTTTGACTTGCATCATTATTTTATGTACCTCTTTAAAAGGAAAAATAGCATTGATTTACACATTTACCCAGATTTTAGAGATGTTAAGATGTGAAAAAAAAATGGGTATTAGATTTAATAATGTAAAGTATACATTAAGGGCTAAATAATCTTTAGATTCATAAGTATTGGTAAATGAGTGTAAAGGAAACAGACCTTAAGGCAGAGACTTAGGTTCTTTTCCTCCATTTAATGAAGGCGATTAGGAGACCCAGAAAAGCTTGGAGTTATTGCTCAGTTAGTTCATTCTCTTATTTATTAGAACCTTCCAAGAGGCATGTAATTGAGATGTTTTATCTGGATTCTCTACGTGGTAGTAGTCCTGCTTTCCTCCCAGAATCAAACTCAAGAAAGAAACAAATGTCATGAGAGGGACTGATAGAATTCACCACCTCATCCTGTAGGGATGGTGTTTCATCAGTGAGAAGATCTCCCCTCTCATTCGCCTAACTGGGTAGTCATGCGTCTCATTATCATGATTTTATTTCAAGTTGCCCTTGGCTTCCCTATTAACAGGGTCCTCACAGTTCTCTCCACCAAGGATGCCCTGACACCAATGACTCTGTGGTTAGTACGAATTTTCTCTCAAGCCTCTATTTTTGCTCCTGGTTGCAGCTAATTAATTCAGCTTTAAAATTACTCATGTCACCTTGGTTGAGGGTAGTTGGGAAGATGAAACATAAAGTTTGATTCCCAGTTGATTTTCAAAGTTTTTTTTTTTTAATGCCAGTGATCAGGAGGGTGATGTTTTCATTTCATTGTAGATAGAACTAGTTTAGAAATCCACTAGGAATGGAAACCTTATACAAGCAAAACGGAAAACAAAGAAAAAAGATACAAATAAACAAACAAAAACAAAGAAAAAAGATACAAACAAACAAACAAACAAAAACAGGAGTTGAAATCAAGCCTGGTCAGCAGCAAGCATATTCAGATACTTAGAAATAGATTAAATCTGAGCTCAGGCTGTAGAAACATGGCTCTGTGTTAAGATTTAGGAGGGAGCCTTGCTGAAGACACTGTGGTTATTGACAGGTATTCACTGAATATCCTCATGTTAAGGGTAGATTTCGGGCAAAGATCTTGTTCAAGGAGGATCTGGCAACTACATCAAAATAAGTTTACTTAAATCAATACGAGAAGGGCACCATCTTTGAGAAAGAATAGCAATAACAGTTGCAGTGAGGGAATATTTTTTAGGTTAAAAATAGGATTCTTAGAAACCTATTTATATTCTTTCTTATCAAGCCCACCTGCAGCTCACCCTCTATAAGAAATGTTTCTGCCAAGGTTCTGCAGGCAACCTGCTGGCTGTACTTATTAAAGCAGCACCAGGAGCCTCTGGCTAGGATTACCTCAGCTTGCTTTCTTTCCAGAGAGTGCCTCTCCCTGTTGGAGAGCCACGTGGATACTTGAACCAACCTGAAGTCATCTAGCACGGGATAAAGTCTGCTTACTCTCCCCTCCATCTTTCTGATTTATTCCTCAGCCTCTGTGAGAAAGAACAGAATAAGAACGGAGCCTTAGGCAAATAAGCTGCAGGGGGTAGAGAAGAGAAAAAATACTAATCTAAGTAAATTGCAAATGGTATTTTAACTAGTTACTGAGAGACTGAAAACAAAAAGTATCTCAAGAATGGAAGAAAAAGGATCCAATGTACTCAGCCCTACTATGAAAGCTATAACCCAATTATAGCCCAAGAAGGGGAAAGGGAAGGGGGGGGGAGGATGGGGGAGGGAGGGTAATTGGTGGAACCACACCTTTGGTGCATTTTACGAGGGTACATGTGAAATTTAGGTGTAGAATATAAATATCTTAACACAATAACTAAGAAAATGCTGTGAAGGCTATATTAACCAGTTTGATGAAAGCATTTCAAATTGTATATGATACCAGCACATTATACCCCATGATTGCATTAATGTACACAGCTATAATTTACTTAAAAAAAAAGATCCATATGAAAGTCTTATACTCTAGTCAATAAACTTCTTTTTTCCAAGGGTGCAGATTAGCAGTTCTGACACTATGTACGCACCACAATTATGCAAATAAGTAAATGTATTGTAGATAATGATTGCTGAGTTTTGCTGGTGATGACTGATGAATGATAAATCTGATATGTCAGAGAAAGAACAAATAAGGAAAAAGAGAAAGTTGCATGATCTATGATAATGTTGAATTAGAATTAGGTGGATTTGTTAGTATACAATCATGGACGTATATGCACACACATACATACACATACAGATAAAGAAATAAACATGCATGTGCATACATTTGTCATTATACAAAGGTATATTTTCTAGCTTTGCCCACTTAGGAAGCCTAGTAACCATAGTAGCCTAGCAACAAAGAACACAGCTCGCACTAGATGGTGATTTGTAACCACGATTCTCTAATAAAAACAATCCAGGCTTCTTGGAGAAATAATTGATTCTAAGGAAACCAAAGAAGGAAAAATACAAGATAAACCTGGAATACATTGTGATTCCAGAAAGTGAAAAGAGCTCAAAAAGAATGGAGCATGTCAAAAGGAATTAACCGGAAAGAATTTCTTCTGTTTAAAGGTGGAACAATTTGAATAACACGGCAATGAAGGTTTTGCCTTCAAAACCTCATGCAAAAACCTCATGGTGCACCTCATGAGAAATTCAATATCCATCATTCAAATTGTAAATAAGTAATTGAATAAATAAATGGGGAAGGGAACAGCTCGTCTTTACAGGAGAATTTCGATTAGTAAATGTAAAAGAAAAGAGGAAAATAGAAAAATCACCATTAAGCAAATACCAACAATTTTAAGTATGGCGGACATGGTACAC